GGCTCTGAGTCGCTTGGGCAAGGGCGGGCACCTCTGGAACCGGTTTCTGCTTCTGTTGCCGCCGCCGCCACCGCAGCAGGCATTCTGGCCTGGGGGAGTGAGGCAGGCGGGGCTGAGCTGCATCTGCGGAGGAGGGAGCTCCTCTCGCCCTCTGGCCCCCGGTGCCCGGATGCCTCAGCGTGGTGCTGCTACCTCGGGCTGCCAGGGGTGGGAGCGGAGTCCCGTCGCCGCCTGCCGGGTGGCCCTTTGAGAGCACGGCCCCTCCCCTCTTCCAGGCAGTGCAGCTGCCTTCCTGCCCCACCGCCCTCTCCGCCTCCCCCTGCTCTGGGGAAGGGACTCTGTGGGGTCGAGTGCTGGGGAAACCTTTGATTGATTTATTGTAGGGCATTTCTAATCTTCCATCTGAGATTGTACAGTAAAGCTCTGGCCTGTTTGGTCTTTGCACCAGCATGATGCTTGCAAGGAGCTGTTGGCAGATTGTTTTCATTGACTTTCCCATTTGGGTTGGAAAATTGGGTTTTTTAAAAAAATTGCAGTACATGCAAAAGAAATTTCCAGCATGGGATTGTGCCGGCTTGATTTCAGTAGGTGCTTCTCTCTGTGGAGGCCCACGTCTTTTATTAACTTCTGCTGCCACGTGGTTGGCACAATTAGCGCTTTCCCGTTGCTTCTTGGCATTTAATCTTTCTCCGAACCCCAGCCTCAAGGTACAGCCTGGGAGTAACCACGTTTTGGAACTGTGACAAGTGAAAGCCAGTCTGCAGTTGCTTTGCTGCATGGGAAAGACAACCCTGATTCGCTGCCTTTGCTGCCCCGTGATTGTGTGCTTTCCCATCCACCTCACTTAGTCTTGGGCCCTTCTTCCGAGAGTGTTGGCCAGGCCCCGTCTCTTACCTTGCCTTCACTACAGTTCCCTGGGGCCAGAGGGATCTGATCCTTGCCCAGAGTAAAGGGGGACACTTACCACTGTGTTGGGACTGAACCCCAATCCAGCCCTAGATGTTGCCCTACTCTAAATCTCCATCAGCTGCTCTGCCTTTCTCTATTCTGCCCCCCAGACACGCCCAGTTTCCATCCTCCAGGCAGGCTGGCATTCTACCAGGAAAGAGCCACAGAGGAAGGTGGAATTCCTGATTGAGTTTCCTGTTTCCAGAGCAGCCTCCCATCCTTGCAAGGTCTGTGAGACTCTTCTCTGGCCTGGCTGGGCACCCATGGCAGCGCCCATGTTCCTGGAAGCTCATCCTGCCTGACCTCCCAAATTGCTTCCGTGATCAAGATACTCGGTGGCTGGATTCCTTGAAGACCAGCCCTGGCTTACACAGTGGCTGTTGTGGGTCCCAGAGCAGGATGACTCCTCTTCCTCACCACTTTTCCTCTGGGCCCTGGCTTGCATCAGGACCCTTGCCTACCACAGAGCCCCTGAGCAACGCCTCTCTTTCTTTCTGTGCCCTTCACAGGTTCGTTGAAGCTCCTTTCTGCTCTGGAGGATTTGAGGAATGAAGCCCCAGGTAGCATACCAGAAGGTAAATTCTCAGCTGCACGGAGGGGATGGAATTGTGCCATGGGGGTTCTCTTGCCTACAGCATAATGACACCGAGGCACCCCCCTGGTGATCTGCAAGGGGGGCACGGTCAAGGGGGAAAGCCTTCTCCTTAATCCAGCAAATAAAAGAGGGCCATGCACATACCCTTAAAATAAATGGGGCTGATGTGAGTCCGCACAGCCCTGTTCTGTTTGCTTGATAGAAACAAATGAATGCGCCCTTGGAGGGTTCATGTGGGGTTCTGTGGCTGGCCAGATTTGGCAAGTCCACACTGTGGAACCTGTGGCCACATCCATGCTGGTGGCTTGGCGTGGGGGTCTGTTCATGCCCCAGTGGCTTTTCCTTGAGGGTGGAGATATTTTTTCCCTTTTCATGCTCCTTCCTCGCAGCTCAAGGCACCAGAGAACCCTCAAGAGCTACTACCCCTGGCTGAGCAGCCCGGCCAGACTCCAGACCAGGTGGGTCCCCAAGCATTTCAGCACATTATCAGCTTCTCCCAACCTGCAGCATCTGTCTTATTTTCTGTCTTTAAAAGTGTTTTACAAATGGGGGGCCTGAACTGCTAGGAACAAAAGGAAAAAAGCCACTTGAATTCATCCTGCCCTGCTGTCAGCCTCCCACCAGGCAGACCAGACCAGGAAATCAACTCCACAGGAAGGCTAAAGCTACTTTTACTGAGACTAGCTACAATAACAGAGCTTTGCAAATCTGATTGTGCTGGACCTCCTCCTCCTTTTTCATACTTGAATCAGGGAAGTGCCTGTGCTGCTTCCACATGTTATCTTGTAGTTCTGGGCTTAAAAAACGCTTCAGCCCCTTTGCTGGGCAACAGCTCCTACGTAACTCCATCAAGGTCGTCTTCCTTGCTCTCCACACCTGCTCCCTTCTCCACTGGATACTGACAACCACAAGTTGTTCTGAATAGGTGCCCTGGCAACCTGGTTCCAGCCTAGTGTTTTTGGACAGCTTGGAAACTGGGTCTCCCTCTCCAGAGCTGAGGGGGTTTGAGCAATGGGTTGGGCTAGTTCCACACCAATTCCATACATTGGTGGTTTGGTCAGCAAGCATTGGACAGCTCTGATCTCCCCCCAAGAATCCTCAGAATCATGAAAACAAAGCATTGTAAGCCAGCCAGGATATTTCCACCTTTCCTCCATGCCCACATAGTGCACAATAATATTTGTGGCTGCGAAGGGGGTTGGTGGAGCACTTGGTGTCTTGCTCTGTTTTTAAGGGGAATGTGGAACTGGGCTGGGCTCTGAGCTCCTTCCTTTCTTCACAGTTCCATGACTCTGCCCGAAGAAGGTCCTGCCACAGTGTCACAGGTTTACGTCCGGGAGAGCTATCCAGCCCATCTACGTCCATCCTGCCTTGGGATTTCCAATGCATCCTGGTGACAGCCATCTTGTCCACAGTGCTGGTAGTGGCCCTGGTGGTCCACTCCTTCCTCCTTCCCTTGCGCAGTTCGACCACAGTAGGGAATGTGGCATCAGTCCCACTTGTGGATAATACGTGCAGTGACCCATGCAGGTATCAGCTCTGCTTGTGATTTTCTTGGACTCCCTGATGTCTGGAATGTAATGTCATGGCATGCTATAAGTGCTTTTTCTCCATCAGAAAAGTGGTCTTGGGAGAATTTCTCCATGAAGGCTCTGGCCTTGCTTAATTGTGAAGAAGAGTATTTAGCTCAGCAGGGTCTATAGCCATTTGTATAAACTGTTGTGGAGAAGCAAAGACTTGGTGGATCTTCCAGGAAAAAGAGGGCCTACAGACTTTGATCTGGCCACATAAGATGCCTGGCAAGGGGTGTGGCAGGAGTCGTGGGGAGGGGAATCAGGATTCTGCCAGAACTGTCTTGCCTCACCACATTCCTCCTGGAGGAAACACATCTGTATAGCTTCCAGTGCCTAGACTCTCTGCTTGCATATGAGAAGCCCACTAACCCCGTGGCTCCTCCTCCTCTAGGGAGTAAAGTAGGGCAATGCCCAGAGGTAAGGCTAGGAGACTCTACCCATCACCCTGCCCATTGCCTTGTTGCTGGCTAACAGGTAAGCTTCCTCAGACTGGTGCATGGTTGGGACTTTTTTGACATTATAGGGCTTCCTGGCTCAATGAGCCTGCAATGTGATGGTGAGGCCTCTATGATTGTTCCCTCAGGAGTGTGCTGGTAGAGAGCATCCCTGAGGGACTGACATACGATGACAACAGCACAGTCGGCCCTTCCACTTTTGAAACTTGGCAGAGGCTTCTGAGGAATGCAAGAAGCTCAGTGGACATTGCTTCTTTCTACTGGACTCTAAGCAACAAGGATACCCATACCCATGATCCTTCAGCCAGCCAGGTGAGGGAAGGAGCTTAGGATCAGGCAGGTTCATCTCCAAGGAGGGTGAGAGTCACGCTTGGAGAGGAAAGCACAAGGGATAGGTCCCAGCATCCTGTGACTCAGGAGCTGGTCCACAGACTCGTGCAGAAGGTCCTCGGCTTAATTTCACATAGAACTAATTAGAGATTTAGAGACTAGGGATGTTTAGCCTAAAGAAGAGAAGGCTGAGGGGAGATTCTTCCAATACGTGAAGGGCTGCCACAGGGAAGAGAGTATGGATTTATTCACCAGAGTTCATGAGGGTGGGACAAAGACCAATGCACAGAAGCTTTACAGAGGGAGATCCAAACTTGGATTAAGGAGCAATTTCCTGACTGTGAGAACTATTAAAGAGTGGGATAGCCTACCTCACGGAGTCATGGAGGTTTTCAAGCAAAGCTCTAGGACGGTCTGAGGTTTCCTGCCCTGGGCAGGGGGTTGGGCTAGAAGACAAGGGTCCCTTCCCAGCCTATGCTTCTGTGACCTACCATTCCATGGTATTTGGCCCAGAATGGCCTCTCTCAGCTGTAAGAAGCTAGGACTTAGACAGTTTTTCCCAGTCTTGTCCCTGGGGAATCCTTCTTTAACTGGCTCATCTGGGTTTATTTTACAGCTCCCAGAATTTCCAAATGCCATGTAACAAATCTGGAAGGTACCAGCTTGGTGAAACCTATCCTAAGCATTAGTTTCACTGGTTAGCTTTAACCACTGATAAATTTTTTATCTATCAGCCATTGTGATACTGCAAGACTTTCCTTAGGAGTGTGGAATGCACTTTCTGCTAGAAAAACCGGAAAGGGTCTGTGGCTGATGGGGCCAAAATGCAGACACTGATTAGTGCATGGGCCCTTGGCCAAACCCACATACAAACAAGCAACTAATTACCCATGTGTGGCCTTGCAGTCTATCAACGCTCCCTTTGAGGGTAGTGGAACATTAATTTGTTTGGACATTGGTTACGGAGCTAGAGCAAAGAGGCTTTTCATAGAATTCCAAAGAAATGGTGGAAAACTACTGCGGGTGACTCTCATTTGAGAAATCAAGTCCAGTGTTCAGCAGACACTAAAATAAAACTATACGAAGTGATATGTGGTGCTAAGCCTAAAGCCTGCATTGCTCTATTGATCCAAGCTTTGTCTGAAATGCCATCAGGGACCAACCCAGGGCTGCAAAACAGGAGTCCTGAGGACTCCCTGCCCAGGTAGGATTTGAAGCTCATCACGTGCCCTCTCAGTGGGTGACCCTCCTGGGAAGGAAGAGGACCACCTGTGTTTCCTTCCTGCACCCCCCCCATCCCCCAGTAGTTCTCAGCTGCCTCCTGAACCCTTGCTTTTCCACCAGGGGGAAGAAATACTAGCAGAACTGCTGCACGCTCCCAGTCGAGGGATTGCGGTACGGATAGCAGTCAACCCCCCTTCCTCCCGGCTGCCCAGTGCCGACCTTCAGGTCCTTGAGAAGAGTGGTGAGTTAGGAGCGAGAGGTGAAAGGGGAGCGTCTCTACCTCCAGGAGGGCTGGAGGAAGTGCAGAAAAGGAGCACTTGACATGGCTGGGGGGGAGGCTGAAGACACCTGCCCTTCGAGGAGAGGCTAGGACATCTGGACTTACTTGCTCAGAGAATACAGGCGAGTTAGAGGCGTGTGATTAGTTCTTCTCAGGACAGAAGATCCGGGTGTTCCAAATGAAGAAGGCAGAGTCAGGACAGCTAGAAGAAATGCTTTCCGTGGTGGAAGGAGGGGAACCTGCCACAAGTGGCTGGCTGAGGTGGCTTTGACTGAGCCTGGTGGTCTAGCTGCTGGGGAGCCCCCTTGGCAGAAGCAGACTCCTGGCTCCCTCATGCCAGGCACCACTGCAGGATACCAGTTGGGCTGGGCAAGCAGACCCCCACTCACACAGCTCTCCCCCCCGCCAGCAACCCTGGCCAAAAGGGAGGGAAGGGATGGAGGGTGGCTTCTGTGAAACCAAAAAGGAACCCCACATTAGCCGACGCAAGGCCACCTTTTGCCGGGATAGGCCGTGGCTTGGTGGCCGGTTCTTTTTGCAGTCCTTTCATCAGGCACGGGGGTGGGAGCAGGGCTCAGATGCTGCTGCTTCTGAGAGGGCAGGGTAGAAAATGACCTGGGGACACTGGCAGGTTAGGGGGAGACCTACTCATCCCACGGGTCTCTGCCTAATTTGCCCCTTGCCCCCATATGGCTGCAGGGAAAGGGAAATGGGAATCTTGCTTTATTAAAATGTTTTCTCCATGGCAGATCAAAGCTAGTTAACAGAGAGCCGTCGCTGCTGCTGGTGGCTCTGGGTCTGTCTGGGGCTAAATCTATCCTAGGCAGTTGATGAGGGGAGAGAACCCATTTTCCTGTCTACAGAATGTGCTGAACCTGTGACTCAGTCAAGAGAGGCCCAGGTAAAACAGTCTCTCTGTTTCTAACACCCAAGGGGCCCAGATCCGCCAAGTTGATTTGCCAAGGCTGACTCAGGGGGTCCTGCACACAAAGTTCTGGATTGTGGACCAGCTACACATTTATCTTGGGAGTGCAAATATGGACTGGCGCGCCCTTACACAGGTGATACCCTCTTGCTGAGCCTGTCTGGCCTTCCCATGTCCGAAGCCTGGTGCGCCTGATGTGGGCTGTGGTGGAGCAGCTGGTGGTCTTCTGTAGGGTCGTTCTGTGGGCCTTCTCCATCACTCTTCTCAAGACCTTTTACCAGTTCTGGAAGGCAGGCTGCCTGGCACCATCAGGCAAAAACAATTTAATTTGCCCAAGCATCTAAGGCAAAATTGTTGCTTTATGACTCAGTCTTCTGCAAGCTGAGAAGAGCCTCTTGAGGCTTTGAGTCATTCCAAAGGGGCCCCCTTTTTCCAGAGCATAACTGGGATGTGTTGCCTGTTGAATTATGCGCCTGCAACTCCTTGCGTACCGTGTGGGGATAGGGGAGAACCCATTCTCCTTTCTGGTGTCAGGTGAAGGAGCTTGGCGTGGCTGTGTACAACTGCAGCTGTCTGGCCCAGGACTTGGGGAAGATGTTTGAGGTGTACTGGACGCTAGGGCTGCCGAACACCACCATCCCATCACCCTGGCCAGCCAATTACTCCACCACCTACAACAAGAACACGCCCCTGGAGCTGAAGCTGAATGGGACGGAGGCTGGCGTGTACTTTTCGGTGAGCAGTTGTGTGTAGGACACAGTTGAGTGCTTTGCTCCAGGCAGCTGGTGATGCTCTTGGTGATCAAAGCTCAGCGGGAGAATTCTACAAGCACCTTCCCCAAGGTGCAAAAATGGTGATTCCTGCTGAGAAGGTTTGGCGAGGGAGAGTACCCTGTCCCAACCAGGGCCCTTCCAGTGTGTTAGGGTTAAATTTCCCAGGATCCCCAGCCAGCCTTTGCCCGTGCCCAAGCAGGGGCACTGACCACAGTTCATTTGCTGCCTGGCATGGAAAAAGGCCAGCACCCTCCTTTTGGCAAAACAACTGAGTTTCTCCTGCCCTGCCCACTGGTCTGCCCAGTGTAGACCATGCTCCCCAGCCAGATTCGGCCATCAGAAGGGAGGCGGGGGGTCCAGCTCACAACGCCTGGGTGGCCAAAGGTTAACTGCTCTGAGTAGGGCTGAATGCCTGCTGCCTTCTGGGTAGGGTTTGCGTGCAAACCACCCTACCGATAATTGCTCTGAAAGCTTTGCTGAAATGAAAGTGACACTGGGGTGGGTGCTTTTGTGCCGCCTGCAGAGTGCTCCCCCAGCCCTGTGTGCCACCGGGCGGACGGAAGACCTCCAGTCCCTGCTGAGTGTCATTGAAGGGGCCCAGGAGTTTGTCTACATCGCTGTGATGAGTTACTTGCCCACCATGGAGTTCTCCCACCCCAGGAGGTACATCAGAGGAAAGCCGGGCAGGCTCCTCCGTCACGGCAGGGAGAAAACAAAGGCTAGGAGAGGGGCTGCATGTCAAGCAGGGTGTTTCAACGGGACTGTTAAATACCTCTGGACATTTCTAGACTCTCCCCTGAGGGCCAGATACCGGAGCTGCCGTACGTGGAGATCTGCTGACGGCCTCTTACTATGGGAACTAAATTGCGCTTCTGCGAGGGAAGCATCGCCTTCCGGGCAGCATGTCTGAGCAGTTGCTTTCCATGGGGAAAGGGTGCCTTTCCACAACCCCACTGGAGCCCTTCCTCCAGTCAGTCTGTGCCCTCCTTTGGCTAAGATCTTGCTAGTGCTGGCAACTGAGAGTCGTCAGGATCAAACGTTGCTGAATTCAGATCAGGGAACAGATTCTGGCTGGGGTGTACTTCTGAAGAAATACTTGCTGGTAAACTAGAGAGGCTTTTAAGTTGAATCGGATGGCTAGAAGGTAACCGAATGCTATTCTGCCCGCCCGTGTTTGCCCCGTGCGCCCCCTTTGGGGAGGTGTGGAGGGCAGGCGACTCTGACCCGGCCCCTCGCCGGTTCTTCCTCTCAGGTTCTGGCCAGCCATCGACGACCACCTCCGGAAAGTGGCCTACGAGAAGAGAGTCCGTGTCCGCCTCCTGGTTGGCTGCTGGAGACACTCCAAGCCAAGCATGTTCCCCTTCCTGCGCTCCTTGGCTGCCCTGCAGGACAACCACACCCACTACAGCTTGCAAGTGGTGAGGGGACCTGATGGCGCTCCTGGCACGGCCCAGGGAGACACTGCTCTCCCGCCCCTCTCCCTCCCGAGATAAGGGGCCGGCTAGCTCTCTCCCGCCCCGCGCGTGCCTGGAAGAGCTTCCAAGGAGCCGTCTCCTCTGGCCAACTTGTGGCCCGCGGCTTTGCCGCTGGGAGCGGCTCTGGTGTCTGAGCAGAGGAGCCGGGCTTGGGGGGCAAATCTTCCTGGACCCCAGCACCCTTGGGAGATGTTGGTTCGGCCCCACCACCAGCCGCAACAAGCCCCCTCCCTAACCCATCTCCAAGTGCCCTCATTTGACTTGACTCCCTTCCCCCTGCCAGAGGCTCTTCGTGGTCCCCGCAAATGAGACGCAAGCCAAGATCCCCTACGCCAGGGTGAACCACAGCAAGTTCATGGTGACAGACAAGGTGGCTTACATTGGTAAGTAAGTCGGGACAGCTCAGGTTAGCATGCGGAAGAGGGGTTTTTGGGGAGCCCACGGCTTAGTCAGAAGGAGGAGGAAGTGGCAGCCGGCGTGAAACTCCTCTTCGGTGTTTCTGCCAGGAAAACGGCCCAGCCTCCTCCATGAAGTCTGCAGGACTCAGCTCACCTTGAAGGAGGCTTTCCTTTTTGGAGCAGGGCAGGGAGTAGGTGGCCAGAGGAAGTGCCTCCCCCCACCCCACCCCACCCCACCCCA